GGGGGGGGGGGGGTACCTTGCGGGGTGGGTCTTTGTGAGAGGAGGGGAGGGAGGGGCAGTGCGGTGCAGGAGGGGGAGGAGGACTGAGGGGAGGCGGTGCGGGGGGCTGCACCGCGAGAAGGGCGCTTCGCCCTCCGTGCCGAGGATCCGGTTCTTCATCGGGTTGAACATGCGGCCGGTGTGGCCGACCGAGCGGAGCAACGCTACCTCGTGCGGCGCCATCAGGTGCGTGATCTCGCCGGGGTAGATGCCTACACACCGACTCACCCGCTCCCCCAAAACGAACAGGCCCGCTCGGCCGGCGTGGCGTCGCCGGGGCACACGCCGTTGATGTGCTCGCTGCTGCTCGCCTCGACGCGGGCCGTCTCGAAGAGCGGCGCGAGGAGGGGCAAGCTGCCGATCACGTCGGTCGGCGCCACGAGATGGTTCCCGCGGCCGTGCATCTGGAGGTTGGAGTACATGTTGGGCGCCCCCTGGTCCTGCAGCCCGAGGGCAGGCAGCACGAAAGCGTACAGCGCTGCGAGCGCCACCAGTCCGCTCCGAAGCCGACCGTGCAAGGGTGGAGGCATAGGGCCGCCCTCGCCGCCACCGCCGCCGCCGCCGCCGCCGCCGCCGCCGCCATCGCCCGCAGCTCTCACGCCGCCGCAACCGCCGCCGCCGCCGCCGCCGCCGCCCGCCTCGGCGAGTGCGATCGCGCGCACTCCAAGTGTGGCGAGGGCACCTAAGGAGAGAGGGCTCCTAGAGGGTCCTAGACGGTTCCGGGAAGGTTCCTGGGAGCACTCCGACGGTGGCGAGGGCCACCAAACGCTGCCACCCACCAGTCGGCCACCCCTTGACCGAGCCGGCCTCCCCGCGAGTCAAAGCTGAGGGCGCGCAAGCACTGAATGCCCGTCGCCGCGGCTGCGGCTGCGGCCGCCAGCAGCGCCGTGCGCCTCCTCTCTGCCGCGTGGCGCAGGAGCGCCGTGAGCGCGGGCGCCTGCGTGACCAGGAGAGAAGGTTCCTAAAAGGTTCCTAGAAGGTTCCTAGAAGGTTCCTAGAAGGTTCCTAGACGGTTCCTAGAAGGTTCCTAGAAGGTTCCTAGAAGCGCGGGCGCCTGCGTGACCAGCAGGCGGGCCGCCATCGCGAGGGAGAAGGGGGTCGCGTTGTTCGGCGAGGGGGTGAGCGAGATGCCGAGGTGGAGCAGGAGCGCGAGGCACACTCCGAGCCTAAGGAGAGAAGGTTCCGAGAAGGTTCCGAGAAGGTTCCTGGGAGCAGGAGCGCGAGGCACACTCCGAGCCTAAGGAGAGAAGGTTCCGAGAAGGTTCCGAGAAGGTTCCTGGGAGCAGGAGCGCGAGGCACACTCCGAGCCTAAGGAGAGAAGGTTCCGAGAAGGTTCCGAGAAGGTTCCTGGGAGCAGGAAAGAAGAAAAACTCTCCGAGCCTCCGCAGCCGGTTCGATGCGGCGGCGAGGAGGAGGCCGATACACGCCTCTCCTCCGATGGTTGCGGCGGGGGCGAGGTTGCGGACGCCGAGGGCCACGGCGGGCGAGGGTGTGTACCCGAGCGTCGGCAGCAGCGTGAGGAAAAACATCGGCGCGCACGACGTGCGCGGGTCGAGGAAGGATGTGTTGAGCTTCCACCAGGCGGCGGAGGCGTAAAAGAGCGAGAGCTGGAGCCGGCAGATCTCGGCCCAGGAGCGGGCGACGGCGTCGCGGTCGGCGGAGGCCGCGCACAGCAGCAGCAGCAGCAGGCCGCCGTCGATCTGGAAGCACCAATAAAAGCTGTCCCAGCAGAAGGGCATGAGCATTGCCGTGTCGCACAGCCGGAGCGTCAGCGCCAGCGCGACGAGCGGCTGGCGAGGCGCCACCGCGGCGGCAGCCACCGCGACGCCGCAGGCGAGGACCCACGGTGACCAGGTCGGCTCGTGCAGCAGCTTGAGCGCCTCGTGCAGGCACCACAGCCGAAAGGCGGTGTCGAGGGTTGAAGGGCCGGCAGACGGCGGGGCCGACTTCGGAGCGGCGACCGCAGGCGCGGCGATGCGGTAGGAGGAGTAGCCGGGTCGGGAGGACGAGGGCATCGGCGGCGAGGGCTGACTCCGATGCGGTCAACGGCCGCGGTGAATTCTTTTTTGCCGACACTGGCACGGGACTGGCGCGCGCGCGTGTGTGTGTGAAAGCGCCATCGCAACTGCCATGTCGGCCGAATGTGGGCTGGTGCTCTCGCCCCGCTGGCGGCGCGGACCGGAGCCGCGGCTCCCAGCCTCCTGTGGGCCCGCGGCGGCTCGCCGTCGCGGTTCCGAACAATGTGAACGGTCCGGATTCATCCCGGCGTGCCGCCGGTGGCGCTTCTTCGCCGAAATTTTGCTCAAGCTGTTTGTCGACAAAGCTGTGCCCGAGCTCCTGCTAGCAGGTACTCGGGGTAGACGTACTCCCCGTGAAAGAGAATGAACTCGCGATAGCGCAAGCCCTGGTCGCGCTCAACGATCAGGGAATGATAGTTCATTGCATTGGCGGCGACACGTTCGGGATGTGGGCGAGCTCACGGAAAGTGTGCGGGAAGAGGGGCTCGCCCGTCTCCATGCCATGTGGGTAGAGCCCTTACCGGACTCCAATGTACGCGCAGGGTACCCCAGCAGTACGCCGCAGACGAGGACGTAGAAGACGCTGCCTTTGTGCCGGTAGGATTTGCTGTACAGTCTGCGGTGCAAATCGCAAGACTTGTCGTAGCCGACATCTGGCGCGGAGTACTGGTCGGCGTCGGACTTTTGGCGACGTCCTCCGCGAAGTAGAAGTAGATGCCGTCGCCAAAAGCGGTCCAGTTTTGCTCCCGCTGTAGCGCTCGTTGAGGCCGTTCTTGAGCAAGGAGAGTAGCACAGGGGCGCTGGTGCCGTGCAAGCAGAACGCCTCCGAGGCGCCTCGTGTCGAGTCGAAACCAGCTGCCGCGGTCGCCGTCGCCACCGGCAGACCCCCAGCAATGTGCCGAGGGCATGCACACCCTTGCGGTCGAGAAGGGTCATGATGATGTCCTTCTTGGCGACGTCGTAGCGCCTTTGCGCGCGCGGATGCTGGATCTTCCAGGCCGAGGCGAGGCGCAGCGCATTGTACTCTCCGAAGCTGCGAGTGACGTCCTTGCCCTTGCCTAAGAAACTCCGCTGCATCACTGGTGTGGAGGAATTGTGCGAGCGACTGCCATGACGCGTTGTCCTCGATTTTGTTATGCAGGGCGAAGCCATCCTCGCTTATAGTGCAGCGGCGGCCTTCTCCTGGCGACGACACTTCACGTCGAGCTGCTGCTGGGCCATCTCTAGGGCCCTCTTGCCACCCGCTGAGCCCGCCGCCGGCGCCGCCGCGGCAAATGCACCCTCGCCGCTCGCTGGGACCCCGAACCCCGGCGAGCGGCCGAACGCCGGGTTCGACGCCGCCCCGACCGTCGAAGACTGCCCAAACGCGGGCGCGGGGGTCGACGCCGCCCCGACCGCCGAAGACTGCCCGCTCCCGCCGCGGAGATCTCCGCCACCGGTACGAATGTCGCCGACCATACACTACCTGTATGCCCATTGAGAGTGAGAAGGCACCACCCGCTGGCCAGGCTCCACACGCGCGCCGTCGTGTCGCTCGACGCCGTCACGACATACATGCCGTCTGCACTCACCATCGCCGAGAACACACAATCCGTGTGCCCCTTCAGCATGTGCACGCGCTCAGGGATGTCAGTACCTACCCTGAGGAGTGCGGGACCACCCCGTATGACCTCTTCCGAGCACTTTCTCACCATGAAATCTCTGCATACCCCGCGTCCCACACAGGGAAGCAGACGGGCGATTCCTCTCTGTTTCTGGCACTCGCGTCGCCCAAACGCGTGTTCACTGGCGCCGGACCGAGCTTGCCACTCCCAGCAATGACACACCGCCAAGGATCGTCCCAATCCGCCGGGGGGCTCGAGCACGGCGCCGTGCGACATGCAGCTGCAGGCCAGAGGGCGTGAGGTGAGGCCGAATCCGCAGTCGCACGAGCACCGCTGCCCCCAGCGATGATCACGCATGGAGTGGCACGGCGGATAGGCCCGCCTGCGAGCGTGGGAGACAGTCGCGGGGCGTGAGGTCTCAATGTATCGCAGGCTAGGACCGGATACGGCGGCAGCGGGAGAGGGAGGGAGGCGTGAGTGGTGGGCGATGAGGGTGATTTCCCCGATCTCGCTCAAAAAGGCCGTGTCCCCTCCCGGGGGGGCAGGCGAGCACGCACCTCGCGTCCGAGCGCGAGTCGAGGAGCGAGAGCCGAGAGATCGCCGAACAACGGTTCGTGGTGCGCACGCACTGCACGGCTGCGGGTTGTAACTCGACTGCCGATCGCGCGTGCGGGATCTGAATGGAGCTCGCTGGCGCCAGTACACGGCAGCACTACCTAGTGCAACGGTGGGAGCGGAGGAGCGCCCTCAACAGACGAACTGAGATCGCTGGACTGGATCCATTGGGTCGCTGTGCCCTCTGGAGCAGAGGCGGAAGAGCTCGCGCCACAATTCCGACAGGTGCGAGCCTTTTAGGCGAGCCCACGCGCCTACACCGTCACGTAGTATGCACGCGGCACGCCGCCAAGAAGATAAACGGCAAGAAGAGAACGCCTCACTCCAGTGATGCTCGAACGGCTGAATTCAGCACGCTTCGCTGCACCGCAGAGGCCCTGCCGTTCGCCGTGGACGGCTTCGGAGGCGGTGCCAGCGCTCTCAGGCCGGGTGTGAGGGACGAACGAGGCAGCCGTACCTCGGCTGTGCGACAACCCCGCCTTGGTGGGCCGCGCGACAGCTGTGCTGTGGCAAAGGAGCTTGGCAGGGCACAAATGCGTGCCTTTTTCGCATGTGAAGAGAGCCCACCCCACCCCGGAGCTTTGTGGTGGCCCCCAGCCGCACCGGCCGAGGCCGGGCGATGTGTGCGCGTGCTGGGAGTGCCATGGCGACCCACGCATCGATCATCGGGCGTGCTTAGACCGTGATATACAGGTCCCGAGCAGACTTTAAACCAAGTGTCAAGCTGCGGGAGCTCCACAAACCACCGAGCTGCTGATGCTGCGCATAGGACAACAACGTCTGTCATATAGAGTGCTGTCGCGCGCGGCGCGGCGCTTGGCGCCGCCGCGTATGATCTTGGTCCACACATGAGGATTGGCTATCATTTGACGCCTTCGGAGAGAGTTTTCTCGCCTTCACCGTTCACGGAATCGGTCCCTCGTTGTGAGCACTCGGTCTCGGAGCGTCTCCTCTGCGGCTTGCGAGCGGATCGCATACAGTACGGAATCGGAAACCCCCCCCACTGATGGCCGTTTTACAAACCAACCATGCGCGTTGCTGGTCCTGAAACACACTTTCTCTCTCTACGACTCCTCCCCGATCACGTCGTCCCCCTCCTCGGCGCGTGGCACCGCCGCTCCGGCCGCCGCCGCCTCGTCGCCGTCCTCCTCATTGCTCTGCACAAAGTTCTCTCCGAGCACGGGCGCCGCGCCCGCCTCCACCCGCAGTCCGCGCCCCGCGTTCCGCTCGATCACGTTGCGCAGCAGCTTCCCCCTCGCGCCGGCCGCGAGGTGCACGCCTCCGCTCCGGTTGTCGCGGATCCCATTCTTCTCGAGCAGCGGGTGGGCGCCGTCGCCGACCGCCACGCCCGCGCCTCCGTTGGCGTGGATCTCGTTCTCGACGAGGAGGCACGGCCCTCCCGCGCCGCTCACCTCCACGCCCGCGCCGGCGTTGCCCGCGATGTGGTTGGCGCGGAGCTGCGCGGTCGCGCCGGCGAGCAGCCGCACGCCGCAGCCGTTCGCCTGTTCACGCGCCGCAGGTGTGAGAGCGGCGTCTCTTCACGGCCGCACGCCGCGGCCGTTCGCCTCGATGGTGTTGGCCGAGAAGTGGCCGCCGCCGCCCTCCTCGACGAGCAGCCCGTGCCGGCTCGCCTTGAGCCTGTTGCCGCGCAGGTCCGGCTCCGACGCGGCGCCCACCGCCACGCCCGCGCCGCCGTGCCCGCTCACCACGTTGTTTTGCAGCCGGCCCTTGCCGCCGGCGCGCACGCGGACGCCGCTGCCCCCGCAATCGGCCACGGTGTTGCCGACCACGTCTGGGTCCGCCCCGTGCGCGATGACGAGCCCGTCGCCGGCAGCGCCGCGGATGGAGTTCTCCTACCGGACGACACGTCTCGGACGTGTCGTGGACGTGTGTCGGGGACATGTCGCCGGCAGCGCCGCGGACGGAGGTCTCCTTGACGAACCCCTTG